AATATTAGTCAACGCCGGAGACCGGCGTTGACCGCCGGTCAACGCTGGAAACCGGCGAAAAAATCCGGAAGAAAGAAAAAAAAAAAAAAAAAAAAAAAATTAAAAAAGTCAACGCCGGAGACCGGCGTTGACCGCCGGTCAACGCCGGAATCCGGCGGAAAAAAAAAAGTTTTTGAAAAAAAAAATATTTTTTGAAAAAAAAAAATTTTTGGGTCAAAATTTAATAATTTGTGAAATTTGGGGTCAAATTGAGATTAAATTAAGTTAAGGATGAAATTGGAGCATATTAAATTATACTCCAAAAAAAAGTCAAAATTGAATTTTTGTGGTCAAAATTGAACTTTTATGGACAAAATTGATTAATTTGGATTACAATTAAGAATTGGGTATAAATGGTTGAGGGTAATATTGGGATATACATGAATGTTTCCTTTAGTTATAATAAATATTAAAGGGATGGGCTTATTGGTAAAAGAGATATGTCCCCTAAACCTAGAATAATAAACATGCTTGGTTGGGGACTTTTGCATAAAAATCCCTTTTTTTTTTTTCCTTTTAAATAGCTACTTGTGCTCTTCCTCGCAAAATTTCCGCAAATTATAGGCTTCAAATAATTAAAATGATTTATGAAATTCAAAACCCTAATTTTTTTATTAGAAACAGTTTCTATATTTGAAATTTAAATCTATTTATAAAATAATTATTAAACTTATATAATATGTAGAAACATTTGGACCGTTATTAGAAACATTTTTTAATTTTTTTTAGTTGAAAAAAAAGGACTCATTCAAAGGAAGACCGAAAAACGCGATGCTTGAAAACCGAAAAGTCAATAGCGTTTTATGCCATGAAAAAGGAAAGTCTTCATTCTTCAAACTACACTTATTAATTCATACGGCAAAACACAACTTTGAATTGACAAATTCACCAACTCTTTACATAATAACATATATATGTGGGTATAAATAGAAGCTCTCATTCGTTTCATTCTCATTCTCATATCAATCAACACACATCCAATACAATATTTCATACTATATAACATTTAACAATGAAAACTCCAAATTCCTTTCTTTCTATTCTAATGATCGTATCGATGATCCTTTCGTGTAATTCTTGCGATGCTCAATCGTCCCACAGTCCGCCTCAAAATGATTTTCTACAATGCATGTCCCTTCATTTGCCAAACAATACTGGAATTTCCAGTGTTGTTTATACCCCAAACGACGCTTCGTATCTATCGATTTTACTATCTTCCGTAAGAAGTCTACGATTCAGATCAGCTTCAACTCCCAGACCTCAAGTAATCGTTACCCCGTTCGAAGAATCTCAAATTCAAACAACTATCCTCTGCGCCAGAGAAAATGGCATGCAGATTCGAATTCGTAGTGGCGGCCACGACTACGAGGGTCTCTCGTATACATCTCAAGTTCCATTTGTAGTCCTCGATTTGTTCAATTTCAGTGAAGTTGCAATCGACGGTGACCAAAAAACTGCATGGGTTGGGGCAGGTGCAATCATCGGGCAGCTCTACTATCGAATCAGCCAGACAAGTAGGACTCTCGCTTTTCCGGCTGGCGCATGTCCCACCGTCGGAGTTGGCGGTCTCTTTAGTGGTGGAGGGTACGGCCCGATGCTGAGGAAATTCGGCCTTGCTGCTGATAATATTATTGATGCTCGTATTATCGACGTTAATGGAAGGATTCTTGACAGAAAATCGATGGGAGAGGATCTTTTTTGGGCCATTAGAGGTGGCGGTGGCTCTAGCTTCGGTGTTATAACTGCATGGAAATTGAAGTTGGTTACGGTTCCGGAAACCCTAACCATATTCTCCGTTGGAAGAACACTGGAGCAGAATGCAACTCAGCTAGTTCATAAATGGCAATATATTGCTCCAAATCTTGACGAAGATATATTGCTTTCGATTTCTATTGGACCGGTGAATTCGAGTGGAGCTGCTGGTGGCAAAACTATTCAAGCCAACTTCAATTCGGTGTATCTCGGTGGGGTCGACAAACTGCTGCCGTTGCTGGAACAGAGCTTTCCAGAGTTGGGAGTCAGAAGAGAAGATTGCACTGAGGTGAGTTGGATCCAATCGGCACTTTTCTTCGGTGGATATTCGATACAAGTTTCGCCGGAAGTCGTAACAAGCAGAAACCCTGAAATTAGGAGCACGCTTCCGATAACAAGGTATTACTTCAAAGCGAAACTAGACTATGTGCAGGAACCAATCTCGATCAAAGGGTTCGAAGGAATGTGGAAACTGTTGCTGGAGAGAGAAGCAAATATGGGGGAGTTGTTAGTAGTCCCGTACGGTGGAAAAATGAAGGAAATATCGGAAAGTGCGCTGCCATTCCCACACAGAGCGGGAAATCTTTACAAGATTCAACAATTGGCTTATTGGGAAGAGAGTGGAGCAGTTGCATCAGAAAGATCGATAAGTTGGTCGAGGAAACTCCATGATTACATGACTCCTTACGTTTCAAAGTCTCCAAGAGCTTCGTATATGAATTATCGAGACCTCGATTTGGGAGTAAATAATTATAACGGAGATGGAAAAACATCAACAAGTTATGCGCAGGCTAGCGTTTGGGGGCTCAAGTATTTCAAGAACAACTTCAAAAGGTTGGTGCAGATTAAAACAAAGGTCGATCCAACCAACTTCTTCAGAAACGAGCAGAGTATTCCGTCCCTATATTCCAAGTCGTCGTCGAAGAATAACTAACTAAAGCAAAAGACGGGGGTAACAATTAAGATAACTGTTCGAAATATTCTTTCATTTTCTTCTTATGTTGATAATTAATTAGTTGCTATATAACTTGTGTTTAGAATCAATCAATTATTCTAATTTTTTTATTCTTTGTCAATTCTGTATTTTGAAAATTTATGTTGTGTTTAATAACACTTAAATATTGCTGGTGAAAGTCACTTATATCAATCTAATTTGAATGATTTGTTACAAATTCCATTCTTTCAATTGCATGATTCTCGATTTATGATATATTTTAGCCACCACTGTACATACTCAGGCCTGTGAAGGGGAAACTACAATCATTCAGTCAATTAATCAAACACATAGTAAGCTGAATCACATGCCTCAAATTAGGGAACAATAACAAAATTTGAATTCCACATAAAATTATAATTTGATTAAAATTATTATTTGCTAGTGAAGGCAATGTGATTATATAACTAAACATGCAATAAAATATTATATATAGAGAGGAAATTAAACCACTTCTATTAATTACAGATAAGATGCTCTATGCATTGCATGGGACTTCTTTGTATACTAGTTATTGGAGATATTAATATTAAATAATACATTTTATTAATAGTTTAAGTTTTTTGTTGAGGTGGTCATTCAACATGATATCAGGGCCATGCTAATTGAAAGGTCCTGAGTTCCAATCCCACAGCCACCCATCTAAAAAATGGGTTTTTATGCATAATCCCCAACCAAGCATGTTTATTATTCTAGTTTAGGGGCTATATCTCTTTCACCAATAAGCTCATCCCTTTAATATTTATTATAACTAAATGAAACATTTATATATATCTCAATATTACCATCAACCATTTACACCCAATTCTTAATTGTAACCCTAATTTATCAATTTTGTCCAACAAAATAATTTTGACCACAAAAATTCAATTTTGACTTTTTTTTGGAGCATAATTTAATATGCTATGCTCCAATTTCATCGTTAACTTAATTTAATATCAATTTGACCCCAAATTTCACAAATTATTCAATTTTAACCCAAAATTTTTTTTTTCAAAAAAAAAAATTTTTTGCCGCCGGATTCCAGCGCTGACCGGCGGTCAAAGCCGGTCTCCGGCGTTGACTTTTCAAACTTTTTTTTCCTTTTGGATTTTTCGCCGGTTTCTTGACTTTTTTGATTTTTTTTTTTTTTTTTTTTTTGCTTTTTTGCTTTTTTTTTCTTTTCTTTTCTTCCGATTTTTTCGCCGGTTTCCGGCGGTCTCCGGCGTTCAATTTTTTTAGTGTTTTTTTCAGTTTTATTATTATTATTTTTTTCTTTGGTTTGTTTTGTTTTTCTACGTCCGCCACTAAACGTTGACCGTAATTGTGCTGTCACTGACAGTAAATTAACGTAATTATACTTTCAATGATAGTTAATTAACGTAATTGTACTGCCATAGACATAACATTTATGTAATTGTGCTGCCGTTGACAGTAAATGAATGTAATATTATTATTTTTTATTTTTTATTGTTTTTTTTTTATTTTGTTTGATTTGTTGACAAGTCAACGTAATTATATTATTGTCGTTGACAGTAAAATAACTGTAAACACAATAATATTACTGTCAACAACATCAATATTATTATTTTTTTGGGGTTTTTGTTTTGTTTGAGTTATTCACGGAGTAACGTAATAATATTACTGACTATTATTGTAATATTACTGTAAACACAATAATATTACTGTTGTTGACGGTAATATTAGTGTTGTTATAGTAATATTGCTGTCAACCACATCAATATTATTATTTTGTTTGGAATTTTTGTTTGTTTGAGTTATTCACGGAGTAACGTAATAATATTACTGTCTATTATTGTAATATTACTGTGGTTGACGGTAATATTACTGTTGTTATAGTAATATTACTGTCACTCACAGTAATATTAATTCTTTTGGTTTTTTTTATTATGTTTACATTTGTTGAACGGTCAACATAGTAATATTACTTTATTACACAATAATAATGAGTTTTGTTGTGTTAATATTAATGTGCTAGAGATTAATATAGCAATATTACTGTCTTAAACTATAGTTTAGTTAATTTTGCCGTGTTTAACAGTAATATAGTTAATATTACTGTCAATCACAACAATATTGCTGTTTAAACGGAAAAAAAAAGTTAAAGAAAAAAAAAAAGAAAAAAAAAAAAAAAAAATTCAAAAAAGTCAACGCCGGAATCCGATCCGGCGAAAAAATCCGGAAGAAAGAAAAAAAAAAGTTGAAAAGTCAACGCCAGAGACCGGCGGGAAAAAAAAAGTTTTTGAAAAAAAATAATTTTTGACAAAAAAAAGTTTTGGGTCAAAATTGAATAATTTTTGAAATTTGGGGTCAAATTGAAGTTAAATTAAGTTAAGGATGAAATTGGAGCATATTAAAGTATGAGGGGTTATTTTAGTCCTTTACAAAAATCTGGACCATGTGTGGACTTATTGGTAAATGAGGTTTTTGTCTGAATCTCTTTATGAATAAGTACCCATTGATGGGCTTATTTGTAATATGCCCTTTAAAAAAAACATTTCAAGTGCAAGGCTTCAAATGTAATTCGAATGCACTTGAGGGGGCGTATTGAAGATATTAATGACACATTTCACTAATAATTTAAGCTTTTGGTTGATGTGGTCATTCAACACTAGTATTTCACCCGTGCATCTCAAACAACAATAGAACATATAAATAGTAAAAAAGAGATAAAATGTATACGCCACTAGCCCACTACCAATATGATATCGATACTAATAATATTGATACTAATATTGATATTAATATCGAACTAATACTGATTGATACTCATACTGATACTTATACTGATACGGATAATAATACAAGTATTAATACTATAACTGATGCTAATATGTTAATAGTATTAACGTTAATGCTAATGTACTAATTAACACAAATACTAATTTTAATGCTAATGCTAATCATTCTGCTACTGCTAATTATAATTGTAATCCTAATATTATCCAAATCATTATCATATTCCTAATTTTATTCATAACACTAATTATAATTCTAATCCTAATACTAATCATAACCCTAATAATTTTAATACTAATAACGCTAATGGTAATGCTGATGTTAATTCCAATTCTAATTCTAATTTTAATTCTAATTCTAATTCTAACCATAATTCTAATGCCAATCATAATCCTAATATACATGTCACTAGTTGTAGTACTAATCGTAATTATAATCTTAAAATTATAATTCTAGGGGCTCTTTGATTATAACCCCTCAATACTTCTTTTAGTAGGGAAAGACCCATATTATTTTGCACCATTTGAGAAATATTCACTCTTAATTTTAGCCACTCATTTTCCCAATTATGTCCCTTCACCTTTAACTCTATCTGCCCATTCCCGCCCATGACCCATCAGCGTGTCTTTCCTTTTTTTTTTTTTTTTCTTTTTTTTCCAATTATTTATTATTATTTTATTATTTTTTCGGTTTTTAACTTTTTGTTTTTTCTATCAGGTATATTATCGACTATGAAGCATATTAAATCGGCTATGATGAACTATAGTCGATTAAGGAACCGACTTCTAAAAATAACAAATCACAACTACAAAAATGCAAAATCAACTATATATTACAAAAACAAAAAATATACAAACATTATAAATGATTTATACAATTAGAATCAATAAACAAAAAATCCAAATAAAAATTAAAAAAATTGGAGTCGATGCACCTTAATCGACTACCAGAGCATAGTCGATTAGCTTAATTGACTATAATCATGTACATAGTCGATTAAGGTTTTAGCATGCGCGAAATTCTCTACACACGCCGTCATCCGCCCAATCCACCAAAAAACCCTAAATCTGTCTCCCCATCGTCACCACACCGCCGCCACAACACACCATCACCACCTTACTTTGATATTATGATAGTTTTTTTTATTACAAATAAATAAATAAAATCACGACTCGCACCACCAACCAAAGTAGAACCACCAGCCATCAAAATCTGATTCCGATCGATAATTTTACCTCTTTTCGCCAACGATGTAGCAATCGTGGCATTTGAACTCAGAATCGCTATCAAAATCATCATCATCTTTATGGCTTTTGTTAAGATCTGCAACGACGGCGATGGAGACGACGACAACGACAACGACGACGGCGGCTTCAACGGAATTGGCATCGTTGATCTGGCGGTGATGTCGGAGGTTGGTTCTTCATCTTCCGATAAGAGAGAATCAGAGAAAAGTATAAACGAGAAAAAAAACCAGAGAAGAGACGCGAGAGAAGAGACGGAAAAGAGAAAATAAAATTAGGGTTTTGAAAGAATATAATAGACAATTAAGGGTAGTTTTGGAATTATGAAAATATCACTTGGGTGGATATTAGCTAAGGTGGTTTTCTCTAACTATTTTTGGGAGTGGGTGTTTCCTTAACTCATTTTCCTTGATGGGGTTCTTGCTAATTATCCCATAATTCTAGTATTAATATTAATCATAATCCTATTTCTAATGGTAATCATTATCCTAATATTAATTATAATACTATATTAATCCTAATTATAATCCCAATCCTAATCCTAATATTAATACTAATACTAATTCAAAGAATATTAATTATAATCTTAATTCTAATGCTAATATTAATCACAATCCTAATTCTATTTTTGCATCAATATTTTTTTGCAATGATCTTTTATTTTGTATAAAAAATATTTATATTCAATCTCGCAACCCTTATATCAAATTCATTATGTGTGGTAGCTGAAGCATCCAAAAACACATATTAAATATATTTGAAATTAATATTTAATTATATTATCAAACTGTCATTAAAATTATTTAAAATATTATAAGAAAACGTTAAGATGTAAAAAGAACAATAATCGATGGTAATAGAATAAATTACGAAAATCTTCCTGAACTTAGGCTAAAATACGAAAAACACCCCCACTTATTGTAATTACCAAAACCCCCTGGTGTTTGTTTTTGACTAACACGACCCCCTTGTACTGGTGTGATTTTTTTAGGAATATTTTTTATTCCATGTAATATCCCAAAAAAATGTGGATTCTACCTTTGTAGAAGTGACATTTTTTTTATCCTATTTTTTAAAAACAAAAATTACCCTCAAGGGAGGTAATGGTAATACTTAAAAGTTGTGAAGGTGTTATTTAACAAGAATAAAGATTTCGTGTAAAGTCCCCATGAGGGTAATTTTTGTCTTTAAAAAGTACCGTAAAGAAATGTCGCGTGTGCAAGGTAGGATAGGCATTTTTCAGGGAATATTACACGTAATAAAAAAAAATCGTGAAAAATCATACCGTAATGGCGTCGATGTAAGACGAAAACAAACATCAGGGGAATTTTGGTAATTACTATGTGGGGGTATTTTTATTAATTTAGCCTAAGTTCAAGAGGTTTTTGTAATTTATCCTTGTTAATATACAACTTAAATTGATTTATACGTATGACCATATGAAAGAAACTAACATAAAGGAAAGGCTGATGGTAATGAAAATAGATC